ATGGCCATAACTTTTAGCAAATGAGTGATTACAGAATCAGCTTTTTCAGAACTCAAAGCAGTTGCCCATTGAAATCCTGAATAAGTATCGATAGTGTGGTGTACTGTTAGAGTCGGCGCTGATAACAGAAGCTTCACTCTGATATCGAGTCACTCAGAAGCAGTTTATTGTACGTGTGCACATGGGTCAACAGTCAAGCTGAGGACTGAAGACCCTGAAGCTCAAGCTTGTAGGCTTATTTTGCAAGAGCTGTGGGCAAGCTTCGCACCATGGAAGCTTTTGCAAGAGCTGTGGTTTTAGCTTAAGCAGAAACATTTTTTTACCTAAGTAAGAATATAGTTCTCTATTAACTCTTCATTCCCCCCTCTTCTTGTACTGACCTTTAATCCTAAAGGTCGGTTTCTGGTATAGGCTGATATCTTTGTCTCAGGACCATCATTTTAACCCCATCTACTTGGGACTGAACGAAGCCTGAAATCCGATTCAGGACGCATGGTCCAATCATTAGGACTAGGAGCAGGACAATTAGGGGCCCTGTGAGGGCTGAGAGCAGGGTGGTCATCCAGTGTGATTTTTCATACCATTCCTCAAACCAGCTCTGGGAGCCTCATAGGGCCTTTTCCCTTGCATCTAGTCTTTCCCTGAGTTTTGTCATGGACTCCCTTACCACCCCCGTGTGGTCAGTATAGAAGCAACAGTTTTCCTTTAGGGCAGCGCAAAGTCCTCCTTCCCTTAAAAACAGTAAGTCCAGACCATGCCTATTTTGCAAGGCCACCTCTGACAGGGAGGTTAAGGACTTTTCCAAACCAGTTATAGATGTTTCTGTTGCCCTCAGATCTTGTTGTATTGTGGCTTCTAAGATCCCTAGCTGTCTAGGACCTTCCACCAAAGCTGCAGTTCCAGTCCCAACCCCCGCCAATATACCAGCCCCTAATAGGACTGCCAGGGTGATACTGACAGGCTCTCGCATGAACCGAGTTCTGCCCAGAAAGTGTCCCTCAAATTCTTCTGTTGAATAATAAACTAACCTTGGGTAAATCTGAACTAATACACAGAAATCCTTAGAGATGTTAAAACTAGCAACTGAGACACACAGTGTGATCCCAGTATTGCATGCCCAGTATAGACCTGATGAGGGGACAATGTACTGGGATGTGTCAGATGAGGACACTGTCACTTTGAGTGCACAGAGCTGGCTTTCTAGCCCAGGGGAGTGTCCTAGGCATGTTCCCGAACCAGTCACCTCAGGCAAAGTTAGCATGTGCCTTGTTCCCCAGTTGCAGCTGTTGGAGGTGTTATAGGTGAAACTCCCATTAACAGCTATCCCTTCATAGTATGGGGGGCTTGCTTGGAGGCAAATCCAGCAGGATTCAGTAAGGTTGGGCTGAGTAGAGTTGAGGGCTTGATATCCCCCCTCAACTAGGTCTATCAATCGTTCTCCTGACCCTGGTAGGGTGGGATTTGCAACAGCCGGAGTAGTTAGTGGGGGAGTGGAGGGGTTCTGGTGGGTTGAGTTAGGTAGGGGGATCCGTCTTGGGGGCACCCGTTTGTTTTTCTTGGGAGGAGGAGCCTTCTGGTCCTGCAATACTTTATTAGGGCCTATTGGTTGAGGGTCGGCATTTATTACTAACTTAATTTGGAATAGGACTCCTGGATCATAGGCCGTTTGGTGATATACCCTCAGGCCCCATAGTCTACCCTTTATCCAATCCCTTGATGCTTTTCCAGTCTGGGTGAAGGTGATGTTCAAGGGGTTGCAGGCAAACGCTGTGCACGGTCCCGACCCATACCACAGGGTTGTGACCGTCCTAGGCTTGCTCTGGCAGTAATCTTGAGAGAGTGGGGGTTCATCCCCACCTGCCTCCCTCTTGACTTGTATCAGATCCCAGGATGAGCTCGGCTTCCACCAAGCATCCCCCATAGTTTCACATCCCCATGATTTACAATAATAACTTTCATGTTGCCCACAAGTGTGCGCCTGTGCCCTGCTCCTCCCATCCCTAGGGCATACATAGAATGGTCTCTTTCTCAGGGCTGCTCGGGCCCTTGGGTCCCGGCACCCTGCTGGGTAACGTGAACAGGGGCAGCATCCACTTTGGGTGCACACTTCTGGTTCACCTGGGTTGGCCGGGTCAGTGGTGGGGATGTCAAAGTCTTCTGCTCCGGCCAGCATGTGGCAAAGGTCAGGTTCTAGGGCAGGCCACCAAGTCCAAAGGGGGTGCCTACCAATTTTTTCCCAAACCACATCCCCTTCCCCCGACAGTACTTGCCACGTTTGACTCACAGGTTGGTGTGGGTTAGTCCGGCCGGTCTCGACGTCAGATCCGAAGCTTGAGAGGATTGTCAGTCCACGCCACAGTCCAGGCCAAATCCATGTCCGGAGCAGGAGCAGGCTTGAGATGGGAGCCATGGATCCATGCAGCGACTCCGTCCACCTTAACTGCCGTCGGAGTGGCCAACAGGACTTGATAGGGACCCTTCCACCGAGGTTCCAAGGTCTGATGCTGGTGCTGGCGGACATACACGAAGTCCCCTACATGGAACCGGTGGGCAGGGCCATCTCCACTGGGCTGGTACGCGGCAGACAACTGTCTCCACAGGGTGTGCTGGACGACCGCCAAGGCTTGCAGTCTGTCAGATAGGAAGGAAGGCATGATTTCCCCTTGCTGGAAGGCTAGGTCCTTAACTGGGGGTGCACAACCGAAGAGCAATTCAAAAGGGGTTAGGCCTTTAAGGGAAGGGGTATTCCTAGCCCTAATGAGGGCATACGGTAGGAGCATCGTCCAATCTCTAGAGCCAGTCTCCATGGTCAATTTGGTTAGGGTCTCCTTAATTGTTCTATTTATTCTTTCTACATGTCCTGAACTCTGGGGTCTGTATGCACAATGCAGCTTCCAATCAATCCCCAGTACCTTGGCCAGTCCCTGACTTACCTGGGCCACGAATGCTGGGCCATTATCTGACCCAATTACCTGAGGCAGTCCAAATCGTGGGAAGATTTCTTCCAGAATTTTCTTGGCGACCACGGCTGCAGTCTCCTTTTTGGTGGGGTAGGCTTCTACCCATTCTGTAAAGATGTCTACAAACACTAGTAAATACTTTAGGCCATATTTGGCCGACCGTATTTCAGTAAAGTCTACTTCCCAGTGCTGGCCCGGTCGACTCCCTCGTAGTCTCTTTCCAGGAGCCAACCGACCAGGGTATGCATTAACCTGCTGGCAGGCTTGGCAGTCTGCCACCACTTTCTCGGCCATCCGCTTCCTTTCAGATGGGGAGTGGGTTTTATTTTCTGCAGTGAGTTGAACTAACTTCCGGCTACCCAGATAGGTCAGCTTGTGGATTCGTTCCAGAGTGTTCTTCAGGGACTCGGGGGGGCGGGGGTTCTTCGGAGACCGGGCTTTTAGGGGGTGATAGGTGGACCGTCAGGTGCCTGATGCCCCGGAGAGCTGCTTCCCTTGCTTCCTGGTCAGCCCTCCGGTTCCCTGCCGCAATTGGGGAGTCGCCTTTCTGGTGTCCTGGGCAATGTACGATGACCAGCTCACGAGGCAGCATGACAGCATCTAGTAGCGCCTCGATTTCTCTTTTATTTTTAATTTCTTTTCTGGCCGAAGTTAATAGTCCCCTCTCCTTGTATATAGCCCCATGCACATGCGTGGTTGCAAATGCATACCGGCTGTCCATGTAGATAGTGGGTCGCTTACCCACTGCCATGGTGAGAGCTTGGGTGAGTTCAATCAATTCAGCTTTTTGAGCCGAGGTTCCCTCTGGGAGGCTACTAGACCAGATGACCTTATTCTTGTTCACCACTGCCGCTCCCACTTTCCACTGCCCCTCATTTAGGAAACTGCTGCCATCTGTATACCATATCAGGTCCGGGTTGGCCAGTGGTTGGTCCAGCGGTTGGTCTGTTAAATCTGTCCGGACCCCAGTTTCCTCCACCAGGATGGCACCACAGTCATGAACTGGCTCTCCCTCCTCTTCTTGTTGGACAACTGGGAGGAGGGTGGCCGGGTTCAGGACGGATGGGGGCCCGAAGGTGATGCGGTCCCGATCCAGGAGAGTTGTCTGATAGTATGTGGCCCGAGCATTGCTGAGCCATCGGTCCGGCAGTTGGCGGACAATGCTCTCCAATGTGTCGGGAGCTATAATAGTCAGATGCTGTCCCAGGGTTAATTTATCTGCGTTTCCTACCAGCATGGTGGCTGCTGCCACTGCCCGGAGGCAGGTTGGCCATCCCCTGGCCACAGGATCAAGCCGCTTAGATAGGTAAGCAGTTGGTCTCTTCCATGGACAGAGGGCTTGTACTAGGACGCCGACTGCCACCCCACCCTTCTCATGCAAGTACAGGGTGAAGGGTTTACTCACATCCGGGAGAGCAAGTGCCGGAGCTGACAGGAATGCCCTCTTCAAGTTTTCGAACGTGGTCTGGTGTTCTTTCTGCCAAACAAAAGGGGTCTTTTCTTTTAACAAGGGAGAGAAGGGCTCTGTTATGGCAGCGAACCCTGGAATCCAGAGTCTGCAGAACCCAGCTGCGCCCAGGAATTCACGTAACTGCCGGCAGTCTGTTGGAGTCGGTATGCTGGCCACGGTTTGCTTTCGGGCGTCCGTGAGCCACCTCTTTCCTCCCTCCAAGGAGTAGCCAAGGAAGGTGACTTTGTTTTGACAGATCTGCGCCTTTTTGGCAGATGCCCTGTACCCCAGGCTGGCCAGGGTATCCAGAAGTTTCTCAGTCCCATGCTTGCAGGCGTCCTGAGTTTCAGCTGCCAGGAGCAAATCATCCACATACTGGAGGAGGGTGACATCAGGGGTGGTCTCTCGATACTCCGGAAGGTCTCGGTGTAGAGCCTCATCAAAGATAGTTGGGGAGTTCTTGAATCCTTGCGGAAGTCTAGTCCATGTTAGCTGCCCTGTCCTCCCTTCCTCAGGGTCTGACCATTCAAAAGCAAAGAGCTTTTGGGAATCTGGGTGGAGGGGTAGGCAGAAGAAGGCATCTTTTAAATCCAGAACAGTGTACCAATTGCGCTCTGGAGGTAAGGTACTCAGGAAATTATAGGGGTTGGGCACTGTAGGGTGAATGTCTATTACCCGGGAGTTGACTTCCCTCAGATCCTGGACCGGTCTGTAGTCATTTGTTCCTGGCTTCCTTACCGGTAGGAGCGGAATGTTCCACTCTGACTGGCATGGTTTCAGAATGCCCAGTTCCAGAAACCTCCTGATGTGGGGTTTTATGCCTTCCCGGGCTTCTCGACTGAGCGGGTATTGTCTTACACACACGGATACCGCAGTGGGTTTAAGGGTGACTACCACCGGGGGTTGTTCTTTAGCCAGCCCGAGGCCCCCTGTCTCTGCCCACACATTAGGAAACCTGTGAGTCCACTCCTCGTTGTTTGGTAAGACAGTAGCTACTGCTTTAGCTACTGTTTTGGTAAGACAGTAGCTTTAGCTGCTGCTCCATACAACCGGTACTCCTCAGCAGCTGGGAGTTCTAATGTGAGGAGATGGAGGTCCCCCACTTTTGGGTGGGCAAATTTCAATTCTGGGCCCCGAGCGGTAAAGGAGATCTGGGCTCCCAGTTTTGTCAGGAGGTCTCTACCCTAAGAGCGGTGCCGGACAGTCGGGCAGGACCAGGAAGGAATGTTGTACAGTACCTTTTCCCAAGTTGACTGTTCTCTGGGTGGTCCAGGGTCTCTCTCTGCTTCCATTCGCTCCTTGAACCAGCGACTTTCGGGTAGATAGAGGCCCCAGCAGATGCTGGATGGCTGAATAGACTGCCCCTGTGTCCACCTCAAAGTCCACTGGGGTCCCTTCCACTTCAAACGTTACCCGGAGCTCGGGGAGGGGATCCGAACCCTGACTCCCTCAGTCTCCAAGGGCGAGGACCTGTCGGCCTCGCCCTTTCTGCTTCTTCGGGCATTCCCTGGCCCAGTGACCTTCCTCTTTACAGTAGGTGCATTGATTTGGTCCCAGAGGAGGGCGGCCTCCCCGGCCTCCTCCTCCTCCTCGCCCCAGTGGCCCCGGCCCGTCTCTTACCGCAGCTGCAAGAATCCGTGTCAAATCCCGATTTTGGCGTTTTTGTCGCTGTTTTTCTTTTTCTTCTCTTTCTTTTTCCAGCCGCGCTTGTTTTTCTTCCGCAGTCTCTCGCTTATAGTAGACCTTCTCTGCCTCTTTAACCAGATCTCTCAGGCTCAGTCCTTGCAATCCATCTAATCTCTGCAACTTCTGCCTTATATCTGTGGCAGACTGCCCTATAAAGGCCATGCTCACTGTTCCCCTCAATTCCTCTGACTGTGGGTCAAAGGGGGTATACCTTCTATATGCCTCCATGAGTCTCTCAAGGAAGGCAGAGGGGGTTTCTTCAGGCCCTTGAAGAACCTCACCTACCTTAGCCAAATTAGTGGGCCTTCTGGCCGCTGCTCGGAGACCCGCCATTAGAGTCTGGCGATAGAGGGACAGATGCTCACTACCTTCGGGAGTGTTCAGGTCCCAGGTCGGACGTCTCAGGGGGAAGCGCTCATCAATGAGATTGGGGAGCTGGGTTGGCTGCCCGTCCGGTCCAGGGACCAACTTTCTAGCTTCCAGGAGGATGCGTTCCCTTTCTTCCGTGGTGAAAAGGACCCCCAGAAGTTGCTGGCAATCGTCCCACGTAGGCTGGTGGGAAAACATGATGGACTCTAGGAGTCCGGTTAGTCGGGTGGGATCTTCAGAAAAGGGTGGATTATTATTTTTCCAATTATATAAATCTGAGGAAGAAAATGGCCAATATTGGAGGGCAGGCATGTCTCCCCCAGCCCCATCCTCAGTGGTTCCCCCAATGGGGCGCAGGGGCAGTGTGACCGCCGGTGGGGCCTCATCATAAGGGCGTGCCCTTCTTTGACGGGTGCCCTGTGCCGCCCCGAAGGGGAGAAGAGGGCCAGTCGGGATTCTGCCCCTGCTGGTTGTGGCGGCAGTCTGTAGGGCGGCGGGGGATCTAGGTCAAGAGAAATGAGATCAGCCTGAGACTCTGGCAGGGGTGTAGGTGGTGGGGTCAATGGAGGAGGGGAAGATTTAGGCGAGTCAGAGGTTTTGGTTAGAAGGAGGGGGGTTTGGCCCCCAGAGCCAGTTAGTGGTGCAGACGGGCCGACCTGAAACGACCGGACCCACTTAGGTGGGTCCAGCACCAAGTCCTCCCAGACCCAGATGTAGGCTTGTTGGTCCGGATGTCCATGGGAGCCTGGAATAAACATTTTCTGTTTAACTGCCCTAACAAGATTCAGATCGAAAGTGCCATCAGCGGGCCACCCCACGCCAAAGGTGGGCCACTCAGATGAACAGAAAGTCTGCCACTTTCCTTTCTTCACTCGAACCGCCAGGTTCGAGGCTCAGGCCGATACTTCTGACCAATGGGTGAGGGTGAGAGAGAGTGGTGTAGAGGCAGTCTGCCCCATACCGAACAGATAAAATAAGACACCGAAGGACAAGAACAAACTCACAACACACAGAGACAGGACAAGCCGGCAAAATGGTACAGAAAATGAAACCAAAAGATTATCTAGCAGCCCGGGCCTTTTAAAAAGTCTCCTAGGCAAGAGGGTATCCGAAGGGGTCCCTCTTACAGGATCCCCACACTCTAGAGCATCCTCCAGAGTTGCAGCCTGTGGGTTCTGGACACGTCTGTCCCCCACTGTCCTGGGAGTCCTCACGGACAGCCGCTCACCCTCCCAAGCCGACTCACCACCAGACGTGAAGAATATCTAGGTGGAACCTCCAAAATGTTAGAGTCGGCGCTGATAACAGAAGCTTCACTCCGATATCGAGTCACTCAGAAGCAATTTATTGTACGTGTGCACAGGGGTCAACAGTCAAGCTGAGGACTGAAGACCCTGAAGCTCAAGCTTGCAGGCTTATTTTGCAAGAGCTGTGGGCAAGCTTCACACCATGGAAGCTTTTGCAAGAGCTGTGGTTTTAGCTTAAGCAGAAACATTTTTTTTTAACCTAAGTAAGAATATAGTTCTCTATTAACTCTTCAGTACATATTTCAATTTTCCAAATTCTGCAAAGTGAAACTTGTCCATCTGCCAGATTTCACTCCTCTGAGTACCAGTTGGGTTACATCCTGCTGGTAATGGCATTTGATTGTAGAAGGAACAAGTAGGACATTTCTTTACTATTTCTTTGGCTTGTTGCCAGGTTATGGAAAATTCCTTTTTTAAACCTTTACTATTGACATGATGTTTTTTATGAAATTCTGAGGCCTCCAGCACATTTCCTATCAATAATTTATCAATCTCATCATTGCCTTGAGCTAGAGGGCTTGGCAGACCAGTATGAGATTGGATGTGAGTTATATATAAAGGATGACTCCTTTTCCTGATTGTATCTTGTAATTGAATAAATAGTGAAGTTAATTCTGAAGCATCAGGGATAAATTCTGCAGTCTCAA